TCTCTCTCTCTCTCTCTCTCTCTCTCGCTCTCTCGCTCTCTCTCTCGCTCTCGCTCTACTTGCCTCTTTCCTATTCTCTCGCGTCTTACACGTTCTGTCTCTTCATCTCCCCCATCTTCAACTCTCCTGCTCTTTATTTGTCATTATTTCTTTCTCCCTCCCTCTGTGTGTGTGCGTGTGTGTGTACGTATGTGCGCGCGTGCGCGTTTATGACGTGTGCGCGTGTGTGCGTGTGTGTGTGCGTACGTGCGTGCGTACGTGCGTGTGTGCGTTCGTGCGTTGCCTTCTCGTCTCTGTATGTAAACGCGCGGTAATATTTTGCACGTTTTCACGCCTAGCTTGCGCGCGCGCGTGCTCACTGCCGTGTGTTACGAGCCCTGCCGTAATGCCGCGCTCTTCCGGTCGCCGACGACAATGCAGACGCAGATATTATAATGCAAATATTTCTCGGGTCATGATTCGCACTCGCGCAGTCGCTCAGTGGCGTATGTGCGTATACAGAGATCACGGCTACAGTCACGCTGCACTGCCCGCACACAATCGTATGCGCCAAGCGTGTTACTAACCGCACGCACGTAACACATGTATACATATATATATATATATATATATATATCGTAGTGTGTAAATAGAGGCTTTATTTCCAGCTGTTTCATTCTCGCTGCTGCGCGAGTAGCGAGGGGGCATGTGTATAAACCACAGTTCGACGGAGAGTAGTGCGAAATGTTTGAATAACTTCGCGCGCGCGCGCGTTCAAAGCAGGTAGACTGCTATCGTCGGCTGTTTAACAACACGACGTCGGCACGATCGGGATGCTCGAAATAGCAGAGAAATCGTCTTAAGGATCGATAGCGCGCGTGGTGCACTCAGCAGCGTGCGAGTCGACGGCGCCGCGTTCGTGGAATGCGCGCTCGCTATTACGTAGGTGTGATTTATCTGAGTGACACTGGCGCTCTGTTAGCAGTATAACTGGAACGACAGCAAGCGGGAGATATAGCTCCAAGAAACGGTCTTGCTAGGGTTCGAATCGGTCTAGATGTATAGACAATCGGTCGCACAGCCTGGTCGGGCTAGCGGGAGATAGTGCAAGAGAGGAAGATCGGGGCGAGAGAGACTGACAGACAGACACACACAGACAGAGAGACAGACGCAAGAACGAGATATCAAGATAGAGGGGGGATGAAAACGAGCGAGATAGGGTGGCAGAACGCGAGTGGGGACAAAGAGCGAATGAGAGCGTACATGAGTGAGAGAGCAAGAAACAGAGAGAGAGAAGCAGAGAGACAGTGAGAGAGAGAGAGAAGGAGAGCGGGCGTACACGAGTGAGAGAGCGTATAGTAATAAGATGAATGAACCATGCCTACCTCGCCGTGGTGCAGTCATTGTAGAGCACGTCGAACTCGTCGGTGGACAGCAGCTTACAGCGGTTGACGCCAGGCTGTATCGCTCCGAGTCCTCTCAGTATCCGGACCTGCTCGACGTTACAGACGACGGGCGTGATCTCGAGTCGCTTCAGCTTCGTGTAGACAGTGTGCAGGCCGCCGACCAAGTGTTTCAGAAAGAGATCGAACGCCTGCGGAAGACAGATCAGCTCGCGGCCGTTGATGCTGAAGCTGGCGATCTTCGCTCCTCGGTAGTCGATCATGCGACATTCGTTGTGGGCCGGGTCCGACGGCAGCGGCGGCGGCGAGTTGTACACGGGCGGCGAGCTCTTCTCCATGCGGTGGTGGAATGCGGGACCGGGCTTCGAGATCGGCGGCGAGAGAGACTGCGGGGAGGAGACGTGGTGGGGCGGCGGCGGACTGCCGCTGCGAGGGAGGGCGACCGACGGGAGGGAGAGGACTCCGTGGAAATCGTGGCGCGGCGGCGGCGGGGAGGGGGAGAGCGGGGAGGGGGTGTCGCGCGATGCCTGGTCCGAGTCGCTTCGCTCGAGGATCGTCTGCTGCTGCAGTTGTTGCTGTTGTTGTTGTTGTTGTACGACTTGCTGCTGCACTTGCTGTTGTTGTTGTTGCTGCTGTTGTTGTTGTTGTTGTTGTTGTTGTTGTTGTACTTGCTGCGACGGTTGTTGTTGCTGCGGCTGCACGGCTTGTTGCTGTTGTTGTTGCTGCTGTTGTTGGTGATGCTGCTGCTGCTGCTGCTGCGGAGGCTGCGGCGGTGGCTGCTGCTGCTGCTGCATGACGGTGGACGGATCGCTCTCCATCATGCGGCCGCTCGACTGTAGTATTTACAATTGAAATGAACACACGCCGCGTGTTTCCTACAAATGTAACAACAGCTGAGATTATGCCGATGCCGGGGCCTCGACGGCCGCTGATTGGCCGGCTCGGCATGCGCAGACGGCAGCTTGACGCGGGCCGCGCGCGGGGCGGATCGGCGGAGCGCGCGCATGCGACGGCCGTGGTTCAATTTGTACCTGCGTAATACCTTCTGACGGTGCGCTTCTGGCGGTTTGTGTCAGGCGCGTTATGAGCGAAAAGAACGTGAGAACTTGCGAAGCCGTGTAACGGCGTATGCGCGATTACTATGCGATAGATGCAGGCGAGGGGAGGTTGTGATGGGGAGATGCTCTCTGGTGGGGACTCTGCGATGCGGGATGCTGTAATAGGGGGAGGCTGTGATAGGAGATGCTTTGTTGGTGGGAGAGGGATGCTGTGTTAGTGGGGGAGGGATGCTGTGTTAGTGGGGGAGGGATGCTGTGTTAGTGGGGGAGGGATGCTGTGTTGGTGGGGGAGGGATGCTGTGTTAGTGGGGGAGGGATGCTGTGTTAGTGGGGGAGGGATGCTGTGTTGGTGGGGGAGGGATGCTGTGTTAGTGGGGAAGGGATGTGACTTAATGTAAAACTCAAGGAATTACAAGCGAACTGATACGGGGAAAATGAGTTTGTACTAAGAAATTAAATAGCCGAGGAGCGACAGCAGAGGACAGACACTGGTTAGATGGCATCGTGCGCTGCGTTACTTATATCACACACAGCCGCGCGTCGCTCGACGTCGTACTTCCCCGTGCTTCCGGCCGAAAGTAATAATAAATAATATTCGTCCAACGATTAAGTGAAGCCTTACAAGGCGCGCATCGGTGTCCTTCTCACATTGTCGCCGACTACTGCATCCATACATGTCCACTCACACACACGCACGAACGCGCACACACCCATACATAATCATGAGTATGTTTATAATCATACATATATATATATACATATATGTATATATTTGATTATATATATATATGCGTGTGCGTGCGTGCGTGTGTGTGTGCGTGCGTGTGTGCGTGTGTACGAGCGTGCGTGTGTGTGTGTGTGTGTGTGTGTGTGTGTGTGTGTGCGAGCGTGCGTGCGTGTGCGTGTGTACGAGCGTGCGCGTGCGCGCGGACGAGCGTGCGTGTTCGTGCGCGTGCATGCGTGCGCGTAATTGCAGCGTGTTAGCTCAAAACGTGATTTATCACTAGAGCCGATTTTGCATTTAAGTCGCGCCACCTGTCGCCCGTGCGACACGACGGATATTCGCTAATCAGCGCCCTCTTTCGCCGCTCATTATAATTACCGTGCGTTGATGTTTGTCGACTGACCCTCAGCCAATAGGCCAATATATTCCTTACAATCCGATTACGCTGCATTAGTGACAGTAGCAAGGGAGCGCTCGGTTAGCCATTCAGGCAGGATTTCACCGGGCGTCGTAGAAATAAAATCTCTCGTTTTCGCGCTCCTTAGCTCCATTGTGATACGCCCGTTTGCGCAGGGAACGTGATTATGTCGTGCGAGCGCGTGTGCACGCGCGCCACTATACTGCTGCTACTACAACGACAGCAACCGCGTTATCATACATATGCATATATAGATGTGCGCGTGTGTGTGTGTGTGTGTGTGTGTGTGTGTGTGTGCACGCGCGGGGTCCGCGCCGGTTTAATGCCATGTGTGGTGCAATAAATCCTGCCGTAGAAGCGAAGCGCTGCAGCTTAATAACACTCGTGCGAAAATCCGCTTACAGCATATTATATTGTAAGCGCGTAGACGCGTGAGGTGAGCGCGCAGACAAAGCTGACAGTAACACGACATCGGGTCGAAATTCGCGCGACAGCAAAGATGTCGAAAGTATCGTGAGCGATCTGGCGAACAGTGCAGAATCGCAATAGTTGCTTTACTGCGTGCTGCGTGCGTGCGTGCGTTCGCAACTTCGTGCATGTGTGCGCGTGAGTGCGTGCGAGCGTACGTGTGGGTGTGTGTGTGTGTGTGTGTGTGTGTGTGTGTGTGTGTGTGTGTGTGTGTGTGTGTGTGTGTGTGTGTGTGTGTGTGTGT